CATACCTCAAACCAATAATATTAATCAAATAAAATACATTAATCGAGGATAGATAAATACTTGAGAGAATGGAGCTACAAGAAAATAATGTGCAAAGACAGACGGATAGCAACACAGCAAAGCGCGAGAATGAAACTTGATGAGGAAGACAAAAAGTTAAAAACAAAATCATCCGGTAACATCACTTCAACCCATAAAAAAAGTTAAAGTCATGTAAAGTGTGGTCAATTATGAATGATATAAAATATATGCAAAGAACCCTTTGTCTTCCTCCTAGCTCGCTAAAATTTTAATTTTGACACTTTGCAGGATCATTTTAAGGTAAACAGTTTTTCATAAAGTTAGCAGGTATATGCCAAGCTTTGCGCTTCCTCCACAAAGTAGTAATACCTCCAGTGTATGAATTTATTTATTAATGCATTAAACTTTATGAGCCTTTGTAAAGGCCTTTATAGTTATTTGTTAATCATTAGCAAGTACCTGTAAACCAGTTAATGGCAGAAAATAGTTAATTCAATATAAGTGTTGGGTTATTCATTATTGTTAATTTTAACCAATCAGAAAGTTGGTTTTGGGTTGTTTCTTTAATTATAAACTACTAAATATATACCACTAGATTTTTACTCTAATAGATTGATGCATCAACAACAACAACAAGCCTTTATCGCACTGTGGGGTCGGCTACATGAATCCTTTTTCTCTTTTGTGTCATGTTAAAAGTCAAATTCTCATCTAAATCTAATAAAGAAAGGTTATTTCTAATATTTTATAACCAAGGATTTTTAGGTTTACCTCTATCTTTCTTAATATAAGTCAAATCTAATATATCTACCTTCCTAACCGGGTCATCGGAAGGCCGCCGTTTTATATCACCAAACCATATAAGGCAACTCTCTCTAATCTTTATCTTCCACTGGAGCTACTCCAACCTTTTCACGTATATGCCATTTTGAGTCCTGTCTCTAAGTGTAAAACTACTCATCCACCTGTGCATCCTCATCTTTGCAACACCTAACTTAATATTATGCTTCACTTATAATGTCCAACATTATGCACCATAGAGCATTGCAGGTCTCACTAACATCTTATAGAATTTTCCCTTAAGTTTTAGAGGGACTTTTCTATCACACAACAAGCCCGATGCATTCCTCCACTTCAACCATCCAACTTGAATTCTACTAATAATATCTCAATCTATGTCACCATCACTTTGAACAATGGACCCCAAATATCTAAAAAGTATACTCTTATTAATGACTTGATCACCCAAAGTTACAATCCACTCACTAGTCTATTATTACTAAAATTACACTCCATATATTCAATTATAGATCCACTCAAACGAAAGGCTTTAGACTCTAAGGTTAACCTCCATACTTTCAACTCCATCTCTAGTCTTCTCAATAAGAAGAATATCATCCACCAAAAGCATACACCAGGGTAAAACCTCTTGCAAATGTTTAGTTAGAACATCCATGACTAAATAAAAAAGATATGGACTTAAGGTTGATCCTTGATGTAATCCAATTGAAATAGAAAAATACTTGATCAAAATACCTTGTGTTTAAACACAAGTAACAGCTCCCGCATACATATCCTTAACGACTTGAATATACACATTATTAACCCCTTTCTTATGTAGAACTCTCCATAGCACATGTCTTGGAACTTCATCATATTCTTTCTATAAATCAATAAAAATCATTTGTAGATCCTCCTTATTCTCTCTATAC